CTTCTTTTTACAAAGCTAATTTCTATAGTGAATGACTTGAAATAATAGAAAATGGGAGATCAGTTTGAATCCTTTAAGGTTTCAAAAGTACGCGGAACGCATTGCATGAAGTCTCATTGCAAGAAATTTATGAAAGAAAAAATATAATCACTTCCAACGCGGAATCACGGGGCGTATTATTGCGAGTTATTCCAACAAGAAATGAAAGGATGGGTAGGAGTTAGACAGAGTAATAAACATCAGCTCAATTGAGCCACCAACGAAGAAATTTAATGGCTCATTTAAGGGGAAAACCTTTCGGTAAAAAACCCCTTGATGAATTATACATCAAGTCATTCGGTACAAATCACATACAATATCGCACTCAGAACAGAAACGAGTCAGAGATGGAACTGCAGTGAACCTATGTGTGTAGTGTGGGCGACGCAGGGGTCGGTGGTTCTCGCTGTGTCGGAGAGACCGAGCATTGATGATGCAAGGCGAGCTGGATCGTCGCAAGTGTTGATCGACGATGCGATCTTGTTTAGAACGGTCAGGATGTTGCTGGGAACGTCCTGCAGAGCGATCGGCCGATCGGCTTTGTGTGAGATTAGACGTAGGCGTGGTGGGCTCGAATCCCGAACGGGGAAGGAGATGAGAAGTCTACGATGCGATTGTTGTGTGCGTTATCACGCAGCATTGGTGAATCGATCACCTTGAATGTGCTGTAGAAACGAAATATTGCGGTAACACGTCGAAATAGTTCGAGTGAACGCGATGAGTTGCTGGATGCAAACGATATGGATTCGCGTGGATGCGAAGAACGGAATTCTATGGGCAGATGCCAACATAGAAAGTGAATTATGCCTGAGCGTGGCTCGTTGGCATGAGAATCCCTGAAGAAGGTCAAGAGATGATCGTTAGGTTTGAAGGGAAGCTAAGAATGTGGACAAAATCCGTCGAAATGGCGTCGCCACGTAGTGGTACGGGATCGCGCACACGAGGTCGTATCCGTGTCGCGTAGGGTTTCGATAGCGAAATAAAGCAATTAACGGATCGGGCGTTGTTGAATCGAAGAAATAACACGATCCTTGAGTCTATTGAACACACAAACTCGCTGGATAGCAAGGTATAATTACACTGAATGCGTCGACGGAACACGTGTGTTCGCGGGAGCCGGCGAGAGCCAAGTGTTCGAAAAACGTAAGGGAAGCCGCGAGGCTCGTAGCATCGAACAAAAGAAGCGATGTTGCTTCATTGGTCGATTAGGTGTTCGCGCCGCATGGCGTGGCGATCGAATGTAGGGAGGTACGCGTTCTTTCATCCGTTTTGGAGATGTCGCGTTAATCGCTGATATATGCGAATTAATTCGATTGGTTTTCCGCCGAATCCGCTAGGGCTCGACGGAACAATGGGTGTGTTTTGGGAAATAGCGAAAGGAAGGGGAAGTCCACCCTCTCGCTAAGGAGGTTCCTGAGGTCGATCACGAAAGTCAGTATCTCACACGCTCTTCTGCGAGTATCTTCAAAACCCTCACAAATAATGTAACGAGTCTTCGACGTACTACTCATAGTAATGGGCCTTACAACTCCGCGGATTCGAGTATTCTAATCGCGTTGTAGACGGAACATTAATGTTTCACGAATTATTTTCTCGATGGATTCAACGAGCTTTCGAATTAAGCGTCACGGGGTTGTTGTTCGCCCTTCTCCTTCTCTACTTCGAGACGCACAAGCGAGCCACGACCCTCGACCGACACAAGTATTAGAGAGGTGAGAGCTTATTGTTCGACGATCCTTCGGTCGGTATGGATCTCGCGATCGCGCGTCCGCGTTTCGCGTCCCTCCTATTTTTGCTTGTGTAGCTTCCCTTAGTTATCGTAGCTTGGTATTGGTTGTGGGTATCTTAGTTTGGTTTAGTTAGTTTTAAGGCATGCGTGTACGAGTGTCTGTCCTCTGGCAAATAATTATTAATCATTTGTTCAACAATTTTGTTTGTTCGTAGGTCCATATTGGACTCGCAACTCCGTTCTTCACTTCGGTCACTATTACTTCATGTCATAAGTGAAGTGACCAACTGTGTAACTGAAGAGTAAGGTCGGTTGCCGTCCTCCTGGTGGATCTGTATTCGAGAGGAAGACAATCGGCATCTCCGGATCAGTTCTCTACTCCCTGTATCCCGTCTGGTGTAGTCCCAGGCTTCCAGCGCAGTGCAGTAAGTCCAAAGCGCAGTGAGACGGGTGCAAGTCGAGTTCTATCATGGTTCCCAGATGGGTGCAGGGTGTGGAGAATTGGTTTGGAGGTGTCGGTCGTCTTCCTCTCGAGTCCAAATCCAACAAGAGGAAACGGGACTGACTCAGTAAGTCCAGTTTCATGGTCACGTCGCGTCGCGATCTCAATGTAGCTTCACCCTCTTAGTTCAAATAATTATTTGGCAGTCAGACTTAGACTTTGTAAATCGAAGGGAATTTTGATTTCCTTTGATTTTCATCGTTTCGTACTTAGTATTAAGCTCGTCGACTCTATGTAGTGTATGGATCTACGTATGTATACTCTATGTAGAGGGAGATCGAAGGAAGTTTGATTCCTTCTATCTTCGGGTCTTCGTCGCAGCAACCTCCACGTGGTGAGACCTGGTAATCGGTATTATTCGTGACGAACAATCCTTTGTCGCGAGTAATATCGAGTTAATGGCTGCGAACTTGTAATAAGATCTTTAGATATAAAAAGTGCAAAGTGTAAAGTGTAAAGTATAAAGTGAGATTAGATTTAGATTAGCAGAAATATAATTGGTTTCCAGAAAAATTCATTTGTATAAATTACGTATTAACCCTTTGCACTCGAGCGGCGCCGATTTGAAGTGACAACTCGAGCGGCGCTGCTGCGGCGCCCGAGTGATTTGAAGTCTTAAATGATGGCGTAAGCTTTTTTTGGGGGGCATGGAAATTTCCCTGATCGATTCATACATTTTGTATAAACTAAAAAAGACCAAAAAAGGGAAAAAGCCATTGAGCCATTTGCGATTTCTGAAAACACTTGTCGAACAATTGAGAGGATTATATCGCCAGCAACGAGAGCAAGCGTCTACGTCGCATTCCGATGAAATCCGACTAAACGGGAAACTTCACGAAATACTAAAAGGGCCAAAAAGAGACTGAAAGGTTTGTCCTGACCGTAACACGCCTGGAGGTAGGCGGGAAATTTCGTATTACTGTGGTACGCCTCCAGACAAACCTAGGATGCATCTTGGATATTGTTTCCCAAAATATCACACCAAAACTAATTACAGAGTGTAATATTTATCAAAGTTTGTTGTTTCGACATATAAATGAATAAACTGGTGAAATCTTATTATTTGTATACGTTTGTTTGTTTATAAATGTTTTTAAAGTACTTGTAAAGTGTTTGTCGAATTTTGCAGAAATCATCTGGAGTTGCTGGTTTGCGCAAGCGAAAAAGGCCTTGAGTGCCAAGGGTTAACATTAATAGATTTTTATTGTAAAATGGTAGTTAATTTGCACGACAAGTTGTGTATTTAAACTACAGATCAAACTACAACATACGTATTTTCTGAAATTTCGTTTTCTTTTGCATTACAAAATTATGTTATTTGTAATGTACTTACATTTTGTGCGAAATTGAATTCTTAATTACTGTCAATAATAAAAACAACAAAAATTTGATAATAAAGAAATCATCCCTGAAGAGGTTAAGAAGAAAGCTTGAGTGTAATAACTATGGCTGTATAGTTGAAACAGTTAAAACAAGTACTGATACTGCACTTTAGCACACCCTGTATGTAATATAGAGTTATAGTAATCTTCATAATTTTTAAAAAATCCTTCGAGGCACTTTCGAACATCACTAAAGACTACAAGGTATCCAAATTTCTTCAGAAATGTCGTCTCCGATTTCGCGTGGAATGAACCATAATCCATATACATTTTAACTAAGATATGCGAAACATATGCGATATGCAAAATAATTTCGGTGCGACGAACCCACGTCGTGACGATTAGTACATTAATAGGTCAGTCTCGACCTAGACGTCATACTTTAAACATTGAAGCTGTGTGTGTATTCGTATAGACCAGTTATTATATCAATTAAAGAAATAAGCAATATGAAACGTAGTAGCAGAACTGTTTGAAAAAATTGCTGAACATAGTACAAACAGATAAAGATAACAAGTGTTATATCAAACTGAGAAATTAGCATTACAGTAATTAGTAATAGAAACACGGTAATGGAAGTGTTTGAATAAATTGCTAAACATAATACAAGCGGACAAAGATAACGACAGTTCTACAACCAGAAAGTTGTGTTGATATCGCTGTAAATTGGTATTAATTCCACGTAAGCACGACTGTGTCTATTCGATAATGCCTCCATCTAACAAAAGAAGCGAAGGACGACGCTTAACAATGTTCACTGTCCCATTTAACATAATCGCGGTATGCAAAAAAGAATACGGGATCTAACGAGAAAATCGTTTTTTTCACTCCTTCATTAGTACGCCAATTAATGGTCGGGGCTCGTGATTATCTGATTTCATCGTCTTCTTGTGTGTTCTTCCGTTAGGCTTTAATTATGGCTCGTTGCACTTGCAGTCTTTGCGGAGTCATGTAACTTCACGCATTGTTTATTCATCAATCGCGTTAACGCGCGCATTTAACGATCTTCGCGTAAACAATATGATTTAGAGAATCAACTGAATCACTGGGAACCAGGGAGATATGAACAGGAGGCAATAAACAAACAACAGATATAAAACGATATTGATAAGTGTGGGTACAAATAAGAATAGTTTACTAGAAACGTTTCGATCATTAATCGTTAACAGTTAGACAAGAAAGTCACTGTAGTAAGGAAATTGATTATGAATTTATTTTAATTTATTTTATTTAATTAATTAATTCTAAATATAAGTACATTTAATTCACTTAATAAATTCATTGTAAATATTAGTACACTCAATCCATTTAATAAATTCATTGTAAATATCGGTACATACAATTCTTCTAATAAAATAATGTTAATAACAATTAGATATGGAGATAGAAATATTGCTGTAATTAAAATAAAAAGTGAATTTATTAAATTTACATTTAAAACAATTTATTATATTCACGTTTGGAATTAAATTATTAATTAATATTTTGAATGAATCAAGTAATGACATTCACGTGTACATATGCTTTACCAAATTAATATTTAAATAAATAAATTAATGAAATTCACGTGTGCATGTGCTTTGTCAAATTAATATTTTAAATAAATGTGTTAAATTAATTGATTAGATTTTCCTTTTAAATCTAATTTGTCAAAATCACATTTGAAATGATTTTGTTAAACTATTATCGAAAATTAATTTATCAAATAGATATTGTGAATTACTTTATTAAATCAATACTTGAAATTGATTTCTTAAATTCACGTTTAAAATGAATTCATTAAATTAATATTTGAAATGAAACGAGTAAATCCACGGCTAAAATTAATATATTAAATTAATTTGGAGCACTGTCCTCCGCGAAAGTCGGGGTTCTCGATAAGGTGGATGTCGACAACCTCGGTTTATCGATATTTCTAAACGGTACCTCCGAGGTCTTTCACCATCAGGAGGCTTCGCTTGCCTGCAACCTCGCAAGAATTCCTGTGGCCCATCTTGCATTCAAATGTGTTTACCCGTATTTTTTTTGTTTACAACTTATCTCACGTACAGGATATATTTACCTCCTGCTGTCGCTTCGCGTATATAAAGACACGGGAGGATTCACCTGAAACGCGCATACCAGTATCGCATCTCGAGGAAGCAAGGTCGGTTTGGCCAAAGTTAGAACCGGTACGGGTAGATTTCCGGTTTGATCCATTTGTGTGAAAGCTGAACTCTCCCAGTGGAAAAACATCGCCCTCGCTGGACGGTGGATTTTATTAGAAAATCTCATCGAGATTCAACTGAAATTGTTTTTCGTCGTACCTATTATTCTCTAATTCACAATAAAAACAAAGTAATAATGATAAATGAGTAGAGATCGGAGAGTGACGATAAAGTAGTCGCGAGTAATCAAAAGTTGCGAACAGTGAATTGCAAAACCTAGAAAAAATTGCAAAGTACAGGTACATAATTGAGAACTAGAGAGACTTACAAAATAAATTCAAAAACGTTGAATTTTTTAAATAACAAAAAATCATATTACTGGGAAAATGTCGTAAGAGTTTGCAGAAGTTCTGATAATACCTCTTGACAAGTTTCTTCTCTACATTTTTTTTTTAAATGAAATCAAACTGTACGATGAAAGTGATTTCGTTGTATTTCCTTGTTATCGTCGGAATAACTTGTGCCGATGATGATAAAGTGCGATACGATGGGTATAGACTGTACAAGGTGCATGTCACGGATGATACTAAACTCGAACTGCTCCACACAATGCGAGACAGCGATGGTTACGCGTTCTGGGAACGACCAAGGGTCAATTACACTGCGGATGTTATGATATCGCCGGAGAAACTTCAGGAGTTCATGCAAATCGCAAATACGTCGGAACTTGAACCTGAATTGATGATGGAGAACGTGCAGAAGTATATCGACGATGAAAATCCTCGTAGAAACGTGCGTGGCAATTTTGACTGGCTGGGATATCATCGATTGGACGTAGTAAGATCATAAGTATTATTTAAAAACAACGTTTACTTTCAGCATTTATCAAGAATTAGCATACACTCGGTGTATACAAACTTAATTTCTTTTAATTAATTGAAAAGTATGTATTATTTTTGGTAACATTAAGTGTATTAATTTTATTTTAACTAAAAATTGATAATGGCTCCTTAACGAAATGCATGTATTATAATATTATCCACAATGTCATCATATTCAAATATACGATCTGACGTACAAGATTTATGATACCATACTATAACACTGCAAGACGATAATATTATAGAGCTATCCTATGACCATATTGTTGTACCAGCATATTTTTATTTTACCATATTGCCTTGTTATTATGCTACAAAATTGTTATGATTATATTTTATACTGTTATATGTAAAGCATGATGATAAGGTATTGTAAAAAATGTAAAGAGTATGATGACAAGTCAATGCAATTGTATGATAGTATTACAGTATAACAGTATAATAATTTGGTAGTATGATAGCATATTAATATGACAATATGATAGTGTGATAGTGCTCTAATATGATAATGCTGTAGTATCATGTTGTCTAGTGTCATATGCTCATGTTGTCACGGCAACATATTACCATGCTATTATGCTATCATACTACTACACTATCATACAGATCCACTAGCAGACTTACATACTAAACCTACAGTCTGGTTAGGTTACAAAATTCACCCTTATTAATTCATACCAACGTCAACGTATTGATAAATATTATGAATTTTTAAGCGAAGATTGCACTAGTAAATTTCAAACAATTCATAGTTTTTTATTCGGGTTGAACGTAATTATGCAAAAACAAAAGGAAAAAGAAAATTGGAAGCCTACAACTGACAAATATTTAACATTAAATATTCTGTCAAATATTCAATTTAAAAATACATCTCAAAACCACAAGCTTTGAACATCAAACTTTGTATTTATCTTACAAGTGACACCGTTTTGTAATAGAGTAACATTTAACTACAGAGACCGCATTCTTCTCCAAGATTTTCGATACGAGATTCGGTTATCGAAACCGTAATCGCATCTGATATTTGTGATAAAAAAATGTTATCACTATTCCAAGGTGTACCATTTCACACTTACTCAAATAACACACGAAGTGTTTATGAATTTATCTATAGACCACAATTACTATTAAGTACTTTGACTGTAAAACAATCGTGAAAATTGCCACGAAACTGGTTTAAAAAAAGAATTATATGTAAGATTTAACGTAATACGAAAGTATGTATATAAATGTATATACTATGATATAAAAATAATATAAAAATTGAATGCAATCGAACATTGTAATAATAAAGAATAAGAACGAATATAAAAATTTGCACTTCGAGCCATTCTTGGATAATAAGTCTTTACTTTTCAGATCTATCGATGGCTGGATTCTCTGGTGACTCAACACCCCGAAATCGTGAAACCAGTGACAGGTGGTAGCAGCTACCAAGGACGAAGCATAAGAGGCGTGAAGCTCTCTTACAAAGAGGGCAATCCTGGCGTGTTCATCGAAGGTGGAATCCACGCCAGGGAGTGGATATCGCCGGCTGTCGTAACTTACATCCTGAATGAATTGATACTTAGCGACGATTCACGCATCAGATACATGGCTGAGTCTTACGACTGGTACATCTTCCCCGTATTCAATCCGGATGGTTACGAGTACACGCACACAACGGTAAAAGACATCAACAACCCTTACATAATCTCATCGCGATGAAAGAATCCTCGAGGCATTTAGATTGCACATTTCGATACTCGTTTCAATTTGCAATTTTATCCATCGGATTTAGATTCGAGATATACCGATGTTTATTTTAATCACACTAATTTAGATTCGAAATTTATCAACAAAGGTTGTATTAATTAATTAAGCGGATTCGTATTGAAATCTACATGGATGATAAATGTTGAATCTCGTAACGAATCTCAATATCGCATTTCCTTGTTTAATCCCCGTTTGAACTTGGATCGGTGACTGTTTAATTTGTATACAAATAAAGATAAAGACTGCATGCGAATGTGACGAGATGACGATCTGAGGAACGTGATTAATTGAAGCACTGATTGCTGATAAACTGTGGATTTGTTCTTAGCGTTTTATCGACGACAACGTCTCTGTTCGTTATCTATTTATAATTAGTATAGAAATTTCAATCAGTTGCGACTTTTTTTTTAAATTAAAGTACACACGGTCGTGCGTTCAACAGATAGGTACAATGTGGATCGCGATAACTGCTTAGACAAACTGTTCGATAAAAGCTGAGTCACGGAATGAAGTGTTATTGTATGGAGTGCTGGGTTCTGTAGAAAGTTCTGTTGCTTTGTTTTCAATAGCGCGTTTCAAAATTCAATGTTCATTTTCAATTATTTTTAGAATGATTTTTACCTTTTCAATTCAACAAAATCAAGTCTTCTTTTTTTTTTTAATTTTATGGAAGTATGTATCTTTAAGAAAAGACAGTTTAAATTTTATTTTAAAAATATCGCTTTGAAATTTTAACTGCATATAGGTATATGAGATGTTCCTTTATAGCAAATACTGGAATCAGCTTGATTTTTTTAAAATTAATATTTACTCTTTTCTCGACAAAAGTGGAATATGACTTCAACTGACAGCCCAATTGTAAAATATTCAGTTAATTCATTTCATTATGGTTGTTACATGCTACAGATACCACTTTAATGATTAAAATTATATTATTTGATCGTTACCTTTTAGAAAGTCCGATAAATTTCTGCGAGAGCTGATACAATTTTTTGTTTAGAATCGTCTTTGGCGAAAAACAAGACGACCGACTAGAGGAGGATGCATCGGTGCTGATCCCAACAGAAACTGGAACTTCCATTGGGCAGGTGCTGACTTAGTATTGGAGTAATAATTAATATAATCAATAAGTATAAAATAAACAGCAAAGTCCAAGCTCGTTGTTCATTAAGGGTATTCCAAATGAAATCTTAGTATTTTCTTTTCAATCAAACACAAATGGTATGGAACTGGTGTTAAGAAACAAAATTCTCTAAAAGCCTCTTTTGGAAATCACAAATTTCTAGAATACTATATACAGGGTGTAGCAGGACGGGTGGTATAACCCAACAGTGGGTGATACTAAATGTAAATATAAGTCGAAAAGAAGGAATAACATTTTTTCGTTTGACGCTTTGTTTTCGCGAAAATCGAGTTTGAAAATTCTATGCAGTACGCGTGGCGCTGGACCGCCTGTAGGCTTAGATATGTATTATAAATAAGAAATGTTAATGTTTATTAGTTTTATTGTCATTACTAACGATAATTACATAACATTATTGAATAAACTGTTCAAAGTGCTGTCCTTGTTGACGCGTACATATCATTGCTCGCCTTATTAGTGTGTCATGAACTTGTAGCGAACAATGGCTCGGGGAGACAGTCCAGTGCCACGCGTACTGCATAGAATTTTCAAACTCGATTTTCTCGAAAACGAAGCGTCAAACGAAAAAATGTTATTCCTTTTTTTCGACTTATGTTTACATGTAGTATCACCCCCTGTTGGGTTGTACCACCCGTCCTGCTACACCCTGTATAAGAAAATATTGATACTTTTATTTATAAACTCAGATTATTTCAAAGCCAACAGAACTTGGCTGTTCATTAAATATTGTCCAGGGCCAGTTTAATCACATAGATATATAACTAAAAACATTTTGTCATAATTTTAAGGTACATATAAACATTGTGCGAAAGAAAAATTTCATTTGATAGTGACTTGACTGCTTGAAAACTTTAAGTTCGCGTTATTATCTCCCATTCTGATTCTAATATAAATGTTGAATTCCATTCAATTTGTTGTTCTTCTAGAATTCTATTTGAATTTTATAATACATCGATGAAATACTGATTATTTAAAATATTTTATTCTATGGAGACTCACACAACTTATTATTACTGGCTCAAACATAAATGATCGAAGAACACCATATCAAACTAAATTGTGTTATTAGTTGTTATTTTCCAAATAAAATTAAGACCACACCAAACAAAATATATTTGCATACTTAAGGGAGCATTTCACTGTGAACGCACAAAAAAAGCATATTTTCAATCATTTTTTTCTCGCGAACTATTGCATAAAATTGAATAAATGTTTTTTCCCCTTAAAGGTATGATTAAGGAAAGTGAATAAAAAATTTTTTTTTAGTAAAAAATATTTCGTCATTTATTTACAAAATAATATGCATGTGTGCAAAAAAAAAGTTATCCGCTGGCGCAGGTGATTTTAGGTCTCCTGGTAATCTGAAACAAAAAATCAAAAAAAGTTTATTACACTATGTCGTCACACCTATGGTCGAACCTCCATTTATTGATTTCATCGAAAATAAACAAAATGGCAGCGTTTCTTGTGAAAGAGAGAAGAAAAACATTTTTTTGGTACCGTAAATCAAGTGAAATTTTAAGTAAAGATCAAAATATCAACTACTTGAAGGTTCCGACCATAGGCGTGACGACATAGTTTAATAAACTTTTTCGATTTTCTATTTCAGATTACCAGGAGAGCCAAAATCACCTGCGCCGGCGGATAACTTTTTTTTTTGCACACATGCATATTATTTTGTAAATAAATGACGAAATATTTTTTACTAAAAAAAAATTTTTTATTTACTTTTCTTAATCATACCTTTAAGGAGAAAAAACATTTATTCAATTTTATGCAATAGTTCGCGAGAAAAAAATGATTGAAAATATGCTTTTTTTGTGCGTTCACAGTGAAATGCTCGTTTAAGCTAGTCACATAACGTCAAAGACTTTCTTAATTTATTAAATACCTGTTAATTATCATCGTTCCAGATGGTGGTACCAGTCCATTTCCTTGCAGCGAGATATACCCCGGCGATAAGCCATTCTCCGAAACGGAAACGAGAACCATGTCAGAATACATTGACAGCATCCACGAAAAGATATTCGCCTACATAGCATTTCACAGTTACAGTCAATTGTTGCTCATCCCTTACGGCCACACCAACAAAAGGGTCTACAACTACAACGATCTGTTTCAAATTGGAAATTACTCAGCGAACGCTCTGTCGAAAAGATACGGAACAAAATACAGAGTTGGAAACATCGTCGACATTATATGTGAGTAGATCATTCGCATACGAATAGAACGACTGACGTAAACGAAGGTCAACGTTTGCTATTCGATTCGACGTTCAATAGGAAGGTTGCGATATCCAGTTGCTGCAAATTCGAAGGAACAAACCAATACAATTTTTTAAATAATAATAATATTATTTGGTAAGAGAAAGGAATATTTCATTAGCAATGATAGTAATAAAACAACAAAATATTTTCATTGGATATGAATTTTTAATCAGTTGGAATAACTTCAATAAACTTTGATATATCTATAGCATTCGTATATAAATTTGTATTTTATATTACAAAATTCTATTTTGTATATATAGACGTTTCCTTGTAAAGGAGTTTAATATGTATCATCATTTTGTTTGAGTACAATTAACTCATAAACGATTCAGTACTCCAATATTTCAAATCTGTAAAGACTGTGTAGGCTTCGATAATTGGCTATAAATAAATGAATAAGTGTCTTTGTTGAGCACTTCGAATGTGTCTAGGAGGAAAGTTTAATATTTGTAAATATTTAATACAATTTAATAAGTGTATTATTATTTAAATACAATAATTATCCGTCAAGTTACTCTGTAACCACATTCTCATTGTATTTATTAAAAAGAAGATAACTTAGCAAGAGTAAAATGTTAATGTCACATTGCGTTTCATTATATATTTTTGTAACCTTTTATTTTTATTTTGAGATGAGAAATGAAAGTATCTGTAAGCACAGTCCGTTCCATTGTATATGTATACTATTAATTTTGTAGATGTTGCATCCGGTGGATCGATGGATTGGGTACGAGGGACCTACAACACTCCAATAACATTCACTTACGAGCTTCGTGATACAGGAAGAAATGGTTTCATTCTGCCGGCAAATCAAATTATACCGACTGCAGAGGAAACGATGGATTCATTGGTTGCCATGTTCGAGCAAACTGCAAAGCTCGGTTATGGAGCGTCTTAGACAACACTATTTAAATATAATTATTTTTAAACAGAGTTCAATTTATCAGTACTCCAAGGTACATTAAGCAGTCAACTACGTTTGAATCTCCTAATTTATATTTTTACAAAATTGTGCGAAAATAGTGTTAATATTTATACCATCGTATTAACGTTTTTCAGTTTAGTATTAAGTGGATACAAATATTGTTACGATATGTATTATAAAATCAAGTTTCATAGTTGAAATAATTCATGGCCCATCAAGTGTGAATTTTATTCTTCTAATGTTTCGAATATTACAATTTCGTATTGTTTTAAAATAATTACTAATTCATACTATTTTTATTAAACTAAACACGCTTACTATTGTTTCACCTTTTGACTGAAGCTCCATTATTTCTTTTACGATTGAAACTTTGAAACTACTACTTGTTCTTTCGCGATGATAAAATTTATTATAATAAACTCCAAAGAAGTTTTCATTGCGTTACGTCCTAGGAACATGTTTGATTACAAACATACATTTATAATCAGAGATTGATCATAATCTATGTGTTTTCTTTTATAGGCTTTTGGTTTATCGCGATTTGATATATCCATCCAAAAATGTAGACTCTAAATTGGGAAGGTTGTTTGTAATCGCGATCTTGATTCTTCACCTACACTTAAAACACTAGCATGTTCACACGAACGATCGGATTAATGTTCGTTATTTTAATTTGTTTAACACCTTATCGAGTGAATTTTATTTATTTATTTATTCTTCAAAAAGGAAATTATTCCGAAGGTTTAGAAGATATTTAAAGAATTTTTAAAAAAGACAAGTTGACAAAACTATTATCACTAATTTGTCGATCAATATGGCAAATCGGAATTTAGTAGATTTTCTTATAAACAAACAGACTTTTGATACACTAATTTTACTGCCGACTTTATCCTTCTTTATATTGTCCAAAATTTAATTCTTTTGTAGATGATAAACGTCTATATACTAAATATTTCTATGATGTTAATGAATATTAAATTTTCGCGAAACCGATGCTTTGTGTATTTTTTTAAGGAATGACATCCTCGTGACGAAAAGAATTTAAATCTGTTTACAATAAAAATAAAATAAGAAGAGTGCTATGGAAGAAATCGTATTAATGACAAAGATATGATTCTCAGTAATATATTATTCTAGATGCTGATTTTTATGAAATACATACACGAATATCCATATCTCAAAGGCAAACTACAGTAAGTAAGACTTCGAAATCTAAAAATTGTGTATAAGCATACCACAATCACTTTGCTAATATTAAACTCTTAACTGCTACTCAAAATATTAAGTTAAAAAAATCCCCTCTAAGCTACAATTATTGAAGAATACATTACAAAATTAAATCAACGCAAAGATCTTTCCCATTACCGAATAATTCACCACGAAAATAATTATTACACGCGTAACTATTCATTTAATTAAAATAAAATGTACCAATTGAATAAAATCATTTTTAGCTACACACCCTATCATCCTGAATTTCCTTTCCTTTCATGCACCAAATTGTAGGTCCACAGGGGGATTGAAACGGCACACATTATTCCCTGTCGCGATATTAACGATCAGTGTCCGAGTGGAGTAACCCGGAATTAAAAGTCGTCTGCAACTGATTGCGAAACTACGAGGGAACGTTGAGTGGCCTGGCGTAAGATCAGATAGATAATTCGCGCAGAACAAACCCGATAAGGTAGATTCAGACCGTCTCTTAATTGATCGTTGATATGATTTTTGAATAACGATCCATGAGAAATGATTGTTGGTGCCGTGCGCAGATAAAGCGTTTAAATACAACGAAGGAAAGACCGATCATCGCATACCTACTTTTCTTTCGTGACCACGGAGGGTAAGCTCACACGTCACTCTATTTTCTGATCGTACTGAAACCTGAAACAACTAACAGCTTCGACTCTGCTCGTAACTATTCTTGTTTCTTGCAGTTCTCAGATTTACAATCACTTCCAAAATCGTATAATCTGAATGTAGATTAAGTGGTGTTTGATGAGAGAGATAGCAGAAGTCTATTTGAATAATAATTAACAAATAGAAACTCTGCAATCTTTTTTCGAATCTTAGATCAATTTTTATTCGTTGAATATAAATTCTGTAAATTCATTTTATCATTTAGAATATTATTTTTACTGAACACATAACGGATTAGAAATTATGTATCATTTATTCGTTATTCGAGATTTTCTAAATAGTTGAGAATTTTGCCTATCTCTGCTTCATCGATTCGTTAATTTTGACAATTTACGAATTAAACGAAGAAGATGAAAACTGAATTAAATTATGGTGTATTATTTCTAGTAATTTTATCGTAAGTGTTAATTTTTGTTTAGGAGAAGTACCATGTGGAAGATAGTCCTAGTTGCGCTGTTCGCTTTGGCGACAGCCGAAAAAGTCAGATATGACAATTACAAGGTGTTCCGTGTGACTCCTCAATCAGAGGAGCAACTCCAAACTGTACGCGACCTGGAATCCTTGTCCGATTCGGTATGTGTATAACTTACTTCTATACAAAACCATGACCACTATTTTGGCAAATTCTTAATATTTTATCCTTTTTTGCGTATATCAATATCTTTAATAAATTTACATTTTTCCATTCTTTGCATTTATATGAAAGAGTTTATTTAAACATTTAAAATCATAACATAATCGATAAGAGCTCGACAGCTTATCCATTTCTATTTTTTTCGCTTATTTTTAAACCTTTTTTTGAAGAAGATAGACTTTGGTTCTTCGAAAGAGATCAAAATTAATAAAATTATTCATATTTGTTGACATTTGAATCACACTCCTAAAACATGTAATATTCACACAAAACAAAATTAAATGAAATTTTGTTTCAGTCTAAAAAGAATGTATATTAAAAATAACTCCTAGTTCCTAATAACATTCTAATCGTCATGAAAATTAAACGAAGAAAATGTTGTTTCAATTTAAAAAGAATATAAATTAAAGATTTATCCTAGTTGCTAATAACATTCTAATCGTCATGAAAATTCGCAGTTCTCCTTCTGGAAGGAGCCAACCGCAGTCAATGGCTTCGCCGACGTGATGGTTGCCCCCCACAAGACCCATGATTTCACCGAAATGATGGACAATTTGGGAGTCAAGTACGAGACCTTCATCCCCGACGTGCAAACCTTGATCGACAGCGAAAGGCCACCAGCGCAACCCCTCGTTGCATTCGACTTGAACAACTACCACACTCTGAATGAGATCTACTCTTACTTGGATAGTCTGGCCAAGGCTCACCCTGGCAAGGTTGAAGTGATCGTAGGTGGATCGACGTACGAGAAACGTCAGATCAAAGGTCTGAAGCTGTCTTTGGGTGGTAACAAACCTGGAGTCGTCCTCGAGGCTGGAATCCACGCTAGGGAATGGATCGGACCTGCCACGATCCTTTACATGGTGAACGAATTGCTGAACAGCAAGGCTGCCGACGTCCGATCGCTCGCTGAGTCCCACACCTGGTACATCTTCCCCGTCGTCAACCCTGATGGCTATGTTTACACGCACGAAAAGGTGAGTTGATGAACAAATTGGACTTTTGGGAATTCTTTGGGACTTGAATCAGCTAGATACTTGTCTAGATAGGTTTGAAAAGGTTTGAATAACTGTGTGAATAAAGTTTGAAATCATGATAGAAGAGGGACCTTAGCTATGGATTAAATTGTGAGAGGTGTCATTAAGTAAGATTATAATAGGAGCCTTTAACTTTAGAGCAAACTATAAGTGGAGTCTTAAAATGTGATTATTGGTTGACTGTTTTGGATTTTAGCGAGCTAGGTACTTATTTAGATTGGGAGTTTGATTAACTATCTGAGATCTGAGAGAAGTTTCAAATGAAACTCGAAGGGGAACTTTTAGCATTAGAGCAAATTATGAAAGGAGTCTTCAAATCAGATTTAAAGACAGCACGATCATTTTGATCTATTCCATATTTCACAACGTTAACAGAAATCTAATATTTTTTACCAGCCATGTGTGCTGACTTTTATCCACATGAAAAGGGAAGCGTATATTCAAATTCATATTTGTACAAATCTCTTAAATAATTTTAGTAAATCGACTCCACTTATTAAAGCATTACTTCAGTAATGAAAATCTGATAAGAAATCTTCGTAAACCTACACTTAAACCTGATGGAATTAAGGTTTTAGAGTGAGTTTGATCTGACACTTAATTGAACTTGTCACCAATATTAAGTTTGATCGTGTACTTGATCCTTAGTGTTTGTGTTCCAGAACCGCATGTGGAGAAAGACACGCAAACCATACGGCAGTCTCTGTTACGGATCTGACCCTAACAGGAACTGGGGATACAAATGGATGAGTAAGTTTTAAGTTTTATACGTCTACATCTTCAGTAATATTTTATAATCATTAAGAAGCGATGAATTTAACATTTGACTTGAAGAAAAGTCGAAATGCTCCTCTTCTCAGTCGCTAGACATTGACAGAATTTTTTACTTTAATTTTTTTTGTATTGAAGCTATTAAACCCCATATGAGATTATTAGCAATATGTACATAGCTGTGTATATTATCAGTACATATATATATTTACATTATAATATATGAAATACAATACAATAAGAATAAACAACTTCGAAAAATAGTACAAAAATATAAATCACGAATAACAGGCTTGCCAATACAATAAGAGTAAACAACTTCGAAAAAGAGTATAAAAATATAAATCAAGAATAATAGGCTTGTCATTAAGGATATACAACGGTTGAACAAAAGGCTTGCACAAAAAGGCATTCAACGTATACTTTTCATTATTTAATGAATAATTTTAAATTCATAATTCCGGTTTGTTATTTGTTCAACAATCCAAATAAACATTCCCTGATATTAACAAAGATATTACCAATGTTTCGACATACCGTATGCAATCGAATCATGCTTCACGTTGCACAAATCAAAGCTTATCATAATCACTGTTCAATTAAATGAATGTTGCGAATGAATCGCTGACTAGAGGCTTTATTCGTCATCTACTATTCGAATCGAAATCTGACAAACTTCGTTTAGCGATTAATATTGTATTTGATATTCATTCGTGTAGAAATTTGTGTATATGATAGTGGAGGCTAAATAAACATATTATATTTTTTTTCTTCAATTTCAGGCGGTGGTTCCAGCAGCAGCCCATGCTCTGAAACTTATGCCGGAAGCTCTGCGTTCTCTGACATTGAAACGAAATCCTTCTCTGAGTACCTCCGATCGATCTCTGGAAAATTCTCCGCCTACGTTGCCTTCCACAGTTACTCTCAGCTTCTGATGTTCCCATACGGTCACACCAAGGATCACTTGGAAAATTACAGCGACGAAGTAAGTGAAACCACGACAATTTTCATTCAATTATTTGTTATTGTTATACTATCTATTGTTGTTGGTATTTTATTTTGTTCTTTGGTTACTTCAAATGACAATGTTTGAACATTCGATATTGACTGATTCTTAGGACAATTTTAAAGTTTACAAGAAAGAAAATGGGATATAAAGTTTTAATAATAGTTTGTATTGTCCACTTTTTTAGGACAGTTATAATTTTTGTATAATTTTTCCTTGGGGGAGCTTTCACAAACTGACTGAAATATAGAAAATCTCCATTATTATTACAAATTGATGTCTTTCTGTTTCTTTTCTTAGCACTAACCATAAAATATCTCTATTGTACCAAGATTTAATATATTAAGAAATTCAGGTTCAGTGAATATGTACAATATTAGACAGATTTCAGAATAAGTATCAGACAAAGTGCAGCTATACGTTCTTATTATCTGATTCGATATACAAGGATTGCTTTAAAGACCATAAAATATTTTCAAACAAATTTCGTAATAGATAGAAAATTAATTATTAGGTTCCAGAGAATTTCACGTTTAATTTCACATTTTATCTAGCACGTATTGCGTCCATTCGATTTTATCTACATTGTTGATAGTATCAATCATTCTTCGTGACATTTTGAACAATTATCGAGACTTCGCAACACTCGTTAATCACGTCGAACGATCAATTTTCATTTAAAAATAAAAATGGTAATCACTGATTCATTCATCAACCGCGTTCTGATAAACGTATATAAAGATAATTGCAATAATTGAAATAATTTGCGTTTCAGCTCAGCATCGGTCAGAAGACAATTCAAGCTTTGGCTAAACGATATGGAACCTCATACAAAACTGGAAATATCGCTGAAACGATCTGTAAGTACATATATTCATTTCTTGTGAAGTGTAAAGAGGAATATAACAAGATATTAAGTTAAATAGTTTCTTCGAAGAATAGTCTGACGAACAAAAATGATTAAACTGTTTATGATCATTACTGATTCCTAGATCAGTGATAGTTATAAAGTGAAAGCTACCAAAAGGATATTACGATAAATTGTTCTAAAACACCCTATCTATATCTAGACTCCCTCTTCAAATTTTCTAAATTTCTAAATTTTGTTAATTAAAATTCCTCTTTAAGCTATTTTATACGATCACACGACTACAAATAAATACAAGTTTCATAACGCTTGAAGAAAAATGATTTTCGTACTTCTCGGTGATCTAAAAGCGTGCTTTGGGACTTAGGCCCTTTGAAAATTACTCTCAACAATTAATAGTACCTACTTATCGTCTACTTTTTGCCTGACAAGTATTCCAAAATTATGTGAAAATAAATGGTCCTACGGTTTTAAAAATATTGAATCAGTCTTGAGAATCGATCAACAAGGAATGCTATAGAGATTCTTCTTCACGTTTGGTACTTGTTTTCAGATGTTGCCAGCGGAAGTTCAATGGACTGGGTGAAGGGAACCTTCCACAAACCTGTTACCTTCACTTACGAGTTGCGCGACACTGGCCGTTACGGCTTCCTGTTGCCAGCTAACCAAATTGCTCCCACCGCCCTGGAAACCCTGGACTCCTTGGTTGGCATGTTCAAGGAAGCCAAGGCACGTGGTTACGACTAAAGGCACCAACATCGAATGGATGGATCATTATATCAAACGGGATAAAAACACACGATTTTTAATCCAATAGTGAATATTTCAATGTACGCATTTATTATTAAATCTGCACAATAAATTTTACTAACTTTTTTAAATACCTATACTAGGTTTTTATTATTTTTCCCTTCTGTTTTTTAATTGTTCTTGAAACTTTTTTGATATAGAAATTGTATATATGAAAAATAAAGTTTTTTTTTTATAGATATCATAAATGAAAGATAGAATTATTTCATTATCGTACCTGTTATAATTGTAATCATAGTGACGTACGAAGGAAGAATAAAAATGTGTGATAAATAATATAGAATTTAAGAATGATGAGGCATAGTAGAGGACAATAAACTGCAGACACAGAAAAATTGTTATTTTTAATAATAAATGATGAATGCAAATATCGTTGGTAGATACTTATAGTTATCAGATAAATGATAATGTAATACAAAGCACGTTATATCAATTCGCTGAAACGATAGTGTAAGACTAATTCCTCGAACGTTAATTAGAACTCAACTCCTAAGGTTTCTTTATCTGAAAACTACTTAAATAAATTGTACGAAATAATACAACAAATTGATTTGTCAGAAATGAAACGGTAGTGTACTAATTTTATTAATCCTTTGACTGTGAAACAGGCACGAAGAAAGACATAGGACTTATTTATAATTCTGACATGGCAGCTGTCGATTGGGTGGGATCGAAATATACCATTAAGTAAATTATTCACTCTTTAATTTCATCAGTCGAGATAAACAATTTGCTTCCTCCCATAATTGCAAATGTATTATCAGAGATAGAAGAAATATTTTGGAAACTTGATTCCATCTATTCGAAGAGAAACAAATAAATACTACTATTTTCATAGCAGAATTTATTCTGCTTTTATATGTGCATGTCATTACGAAGAACAACTCGAATCGATTTTACAAAGTACATGTCTTTATCGAAATCTTTGTCATAAGAAAAGAAATGTTATCGTGAAAATTAAGTAGTTCTAAATGAGGTAATTCAACGAGGTCAGATAAAAGGGAAAGGAATAACAGTAATAGAATCACATAATTCTACTATGAATTCTATGCTATGAATATGTTGCCACTGTAACCTTTAATTACTTTAATTTTTAAATATTATAATTTCATACTAATCTTATGCATAATATATCATTTCAAGATTCATGAGTTAGCTCTGCAGTATAGTTGTATGTAATATACTTTACAAATACTACTTTCAAATTCTCAATATTTAAACAACAGAGTGTAATCAGACATAGATGGTAATACATTTTTTTTATAAATAAATTAAAGTTTATCTTACTACTACAATTTATTGTGCTGAATTTTTCACTGCTGAATTAATTGGCGGTAGGAAAAGCCTCAATACTGAATTCGGTTCACAATCGTTGCAAAAAAAGGTATATTTGCAAGTATACATACCCATTAAAAAAAAAAATAACATATTTTTTAGACTCGCCCACAAAAGTTAACAAATCAATGAACCAGGTGTTTCATAAGAACATCCAGTATAGCATTATTAGTTGTAATTTTCGAGTACCCAAAAAATATCGCGTCAGACCCAACCCTAAGCTCTTGATAAATACTCTCGAATCCCTAAACCCCTAAACAATACTATCATCAAGTCTTACAGTTTGACACAAACTGTACGTAACACTAATGATCCATATAATATGTATAATTATTTCGAGAAAAATCGCAATTTATGATTAAAAAGATACAGTAAAATAAATAAATTTTCCATGTTTATAACTCACATTAGTTTCGCATCATTACTACACAGAGGATTATTTACTTCGAACCAATAGACCTCTTCGCACGAATAACCTCTTTCAGGAATAATTTTTCATGGAAAAATGAAATGGAAAAGTCGTTTACTGTTTTTCAATCTTGAACCCCAAATTACTGTGAAATATAATATCATGATATATATATATATATATATATATATATATATATATATATATATATATATATATATATATAGTGAAATGAAAAGTGTTACATGATGAGAATAATTTGAAAAACCCTACGCTAGACACCGCATCATTCAATATCGCTATTTTGTTCTGTTTATGGGATAAACAGTACGCAAAAACTTTTTAAGTAGTAGCCATTGATCGTGCTATTGCCTTCAGCTCTTTTCTTGAAACCTTTCCACTAGGAGTGTGTGGGAGACTTGGTAGAAACTGCACTCCTCCACGTAGATGGAAATGATCTGTCAACGTGGTAGCTACTTTCTTGATCAATTCTTCCGCTGTCACCTTTAAAGTAAATCAACAGTGATCACGTAATTGCACGTATAACATACATAATAATGTAGAATATATTAATAATCACATAAATAATTCCAATCTCCATTTTCAGGCTACGAATAATTTAAATGCTAAACGTGATCAAAGAAATGAAAATGTAATAGTAAAGCAAACTTTGAATTATCATTTACATGGTATACAATATTATTAATTTTGATGGAGTACTCGTTTTCAAAAAGTGTTCATTTAATCAGTTTATCCTTACAAAATTTTCATGGCTTCAATCGTATTATAGCTAATTGATAGCACACTGCCATCAGTGTTAGTAGAAGGTGACGTCACAAACTGAATGTTAAGTGGGGAAACTAATTAAGAGTAAATTTCACGAAATTTGTAAATTGTTTTTATCATTCATCTTGGAATTTATAATTTTTTTTTTCATTTATATTTAATTTATTCCTAAACTTGGAGAAAATTTTCTCCTAGAAAAATAAATTAAATAATGTGCACAACTCTGATTCAGGTCAGTGAGCTGCACTACCCAGTACTTGATACTTGTACAAGCTTACCTCCATGTTAGGAACCTTGCTGACAAAGGCAATAGGATGTTCATCTTCCGTAGGATGAGGTATGCCAACGACCGCGGCTTCTAGAACACCCGGATGCGACTGCAATAGATTCTCGATTTCAGTTGGTGTTACTTGGTATCCCAAGTATTTAATAAGCTCCTTCAGTCTGTCGATGATGAAGAGCTCTCCTTTCTCGTTGAAGTAACCGATATCTCCCGAATGCAACCAACCTGGGATTAGAATTTTAACATATTTATTCTAGCAGTTATACGACGTTTTTTTTTATCATTCAACATTTAACACTTAAAGTAAAAGTTGTAAGGTACCAAATATTTTAAGAAATAATAAAAACACTCATTTAAAAATGTTTAAAAATGAATATGTTTCACGTTTGTAATAAGATAGTCAAAACACAATATAAACAATTCAATGTTTCGTATTATAAATTTTGGGACCCACTCGAGAGCTTTCACTGACAATGAGTGAAATTATCACGTGCAATAATAAACATTCATTATCTAATTGACTATGTATAGTTTACTATGTATTAATATAATTAAGGTACTTTTGAACATGATATTTATAAAAAATATAGACTTATAGAAGTTGCATAATGAACTATCCATGTAAAAAAAAATTATGAAAGGCAGTCATCATTATTTATAGATTGATTATGCTCAAAATTTAATCACTTCTTATTAAGAGAAAATAGAATTGGAATTCAATAGTAATTGTTATTTTTTAAGTTTTATTAACATAGTGTACGTAGAATGTCCTAAAAATGTTTAAGGTTCTTGAAAGGGGTGGTTCGTTGAAAGGGGTATATTTATCAACAAGGATCTTTTCACATTTTCTCCTAAAAAAATTTCATTTGTTTAAGGTCAGCGTATAAAGGAGTAGGAATAATTCTATAACATAATTTATTTTTAAAATACTAATGGATATGTGAATCCTTGACAATTGAATTCTTCAAAACTAATTTAAAACTCTATGTACTTTATGCTTACCCTCTTTGTCGATGGTGTTCGCAGTAGCTTCAGGATTCTTGAAATATCCCGTCATCATGTGAATCGACTTCCCGCAAATCTCGCCAGTTTCATTCGGGCCCAGAGTTTTTCCTGTATCGATATCGACGATTTTCAATTGGCAGTTCACGTTGACGATTCCGCAAGAGCCGCTCGTGCTACTGCCTGACACTTGGGTGGTGATCAATCCACCCATTTCTGTCATACCTAAGATGAAAAAATGATTTACTTGCTTACATGTAATAGTAAATGTTCAAATGTTGTATTATACTAGATGCAGAAAATAATTCTGTACCCTTACGTTTAATCATTTACATCTTTAGTTTAAGTAAAATTATGTATTACTAACCTTGTAGGTCTTCAACTTAATCTCTATTACAATGTATTTATATATGTCATAATCTAAGTCTCAACCTGACGGCCATTAGAAATGTACATATGTATCTATTCGTACGAAAATCAGTACTCAACAAATTTTTCTTGTCGGTATTCTTCTAATAGATTATAAGTGTATTTGACAATCATTAAGCGTATAAATTAATCCTGTGTTTTTACATGCAATTATTTGTAACACTAGATTAAATAATAATATTTTCTGACCATTTGATTTCGTTAGTGTCCCAACTTTTATATTAACGAAATAATTTTACAACTATATGTAATTTGTTCTTAAATATGTGACGGAAGAAGGATTTGAAATTGAATGATGTTTTTTTTATAAATAAACAATAAAGTTTACCTTAAAAAGGCATAGAATTAATTTCTATACTTAATATACAGGGTGTCCCAGGTTTAGTGATACAGCGCTCTACCTCCAAAACTATCGGCTGAATGCAAAATTTCAAATATGGAAATTGCATGGTAAAGCAAGTTTCGTTTTTCAAATGGAACTATATATTTTTTTTATACCATGCGATAGTACTTTTCAAGACGAATTCATGAAGCTTTAATGTATTTACCCGATTTTTATTAGTTTTCAAGCTATAACGCATCGAAGTTTGCTAATTTTCAAGGAAAAACCTCGATTCGACCCCGGGCGGTCCCATTGATGCGGTAAGCACCATGGGGTTCTTGAAATCGATACGGAGGGTCTCGCTTGCGATCCCAGGCCCAAGGAAGGAAAACGAGAAAAGTATTGACCGCTACTGATGCATTATTTGTAGCGCCGAAAATTTTCTAGGTAAGTAATACTTTTCCTGTTTTCCTTCCTTGGGCCTGGAATCACAAGTGAGACCCTCCATATAGATTTCAAGAACCCCATGGTGCTTACCGCATCAATGGGACCGCCCGGGGTCGAATCGAGGTTTTTCCTTGAAAATTAGCAAACTTCGATGCGTTATAGCTTGAAAACTAATAAAAATCGGGTAAATACATTAAAGCTTCATGAATTCGTCTTGAAAAGTACTATCGCATGGTATAAAAAAAATATATAGTTCCATTTGAAAAACGAAACTTGCTTTACCATGCAATTTCCATATTTGAAATTTTCCATTCAGCCGATAGTTTTGGAGTTAGAGCGCTGTATCACTAAACCTGGGACACCCTGTATACTTACAATACCTAATGGAGGCTGGAGTTCAGAAAATTATTATCCAGATTGTACAAATTACCGTATGCTTGTATAATCATCGTTTGAGGCAGGTGCTTCTTCAACAAATCCTGAGATTCCTTCTTCAAGCAAGCTCCACCGACGAAGAGAACCTTCAAACTCGAAAGGTCGTAGTCATGCAGACCGCTGTATCGGACAAACCGATTGGCCATGCTGGTGCTCAGCATCACCCATCCGATCTAGAGATGATTAATGGATGAGAAAACAATTAGGGACGATTTTGTAAATGAGTGCTTACAATTCTTAATAGTGTTAACGATATTTAAATTTATATTTCTATTTTAATTGCATTATAAAAGTTGAGAATTATAGGATTGTAATAAAAAATGATTATGAATTAAGAAGAATGTCTACAGAATATGCTAGAGTCCAATAATAAGCTTCTTGAATTTTAAGATTATGGTAACAAATTATTATAAATTGAGAAGAATTTTTATACTAGAGTGTAATAGCTTACTAAAGCTTACTAAGTTTATAATAATTTTTTAACATAATTCTACAAATCTTTATGAAATGTTCCTTCATTATACAGTCATAATTTGTTTATTGTATTTTGTTTGGTTTTATTTATAATTCTTAACACATTCTCGACCGGCAGGTATTTTACTCGGTTTCTCATACCGAGTAGTGACGAAAATAATAAAATTTTGAAGCTGGACATCGCAAATTCGTATCGTTAGGGCGAAGATAAAAATAACAAAATACATTTTGAAACATCAGTGTTGTAAATATCGAGTGCATAAAATAAAAAGATCTTCATAATATTTTCACAACAAGGAATAGAATGTAAAGCGACGTGAATTCATGTCAGCGATCGCGAATATATGTTAATCATAATAATTAAATTGCTCCAGGTAATGTAACCATTGAAACGTACATAATCATTATTCAACATAATCCTGGAAATCGTAATTTTTACACTGAAACAGAAAATCTGTATACCCACAATCTAGTTTTCCCGATTCCTGATTAAACACATACCTTGTATTTTTCGATCAATTCACAGGCTATCTTGTCTTGGTAATTCGGCGTGATGATCCTCTTGCGGCGAGTAGAGATGCTTAGAAGGCTTAACAACAAACCGCTGACCCAGTATATAGGACTGAACCACATCAGTGAAGACGAACTCATGTTCATGAGATCGGTCATCTGCAAGACACCGAGTAATGAGTGATGCGAGGTCATCACGCCCTTTGGCAAACCCGTTGTCCCAGAGGAGTAAAGAATATACGCTGTGTCCTGTGAATTGTCGATTTCCGTGCATTGGAAATCGGCCACATCCGATTTATTATGACCCTTCAACACCTCTGAGAATGGCGTCGTGCCAGCATATTTGCCGTACGTCACCACCTTGACAGGGAAAACTTCGATCTTCGCCGCCTCCAACGCGACCCTAACCGACTCCTCGTTTGCGAAGAGAACTTTCGGCTCCGACATTGTTATAAAATGACGAGCCAGGTCTATAAACATACGTAACAACATAATTTTAATTGGACGTTATCTTTGTACAGTGACTCACGAAAGTATTTGAACACTTAGTGCGAAATACTTTATTAATTATAATAGGTATATTATGTAACATTTACTGAAATATTATTAACACTGTAAGGAGGTACGACTCTGCAGATTATATAGGTAAAGTTTCAAACAAATCGAAATATGTAAACAATAAATTTGTATTATTTCTTGTAAACATAGAGATTGCTGAAGCCACAAAAGTATTTGAACACACAAGAGTGAGTTCCAAGAATCAATGAAAACTCAATTTTTCGGTCACTAAACGTAAACATTGATTGTTGTTAGTCATCATCGTACATACATGGGTCTGTCTGAGTCTAGCATTCATTGTGAAATAGTATGATATTGATCATGTGTCCAAAAACAACTGAAATTCCTGAAAGTAATAGAAAATTAATTGTCCAGTGGCGTAAAGAAGGAAAAACGTATGGTGAAATAAGTAAATTATTAAATATAAGTAGATCTAGGATACATTGTATTATTAAAAAATCGAAATCTGAAAGAACTTTAAAAAATATATACCGTTCAGGCCGACCAAAGAAATTAACCGAAAGGGAAGAAAGAGCTTTGCACCGCGAAATAAAAAAAATCCAAAACTTTCTGCTACAAAAGTTGCAACAGTAGTTATACAGAATTCTAATAAAAATGTGCATCCAGAACTATGCAGAAGAGTGCTACGTGAAAATGATTACCATGCCAGGGTTCCTAGAAAGAAGCCATATATTAGTGATACTGATCTGATTGAAGAAAAGATTGGAGTTCGCCAAAGAATTTATTAGTAAAGGTAATGTATTCTGAAATAAAGTTAAGATATTTTCAGATGAATCAAAATTTAACGTCTTTGAGTCAGACGGACGCAATTTTGTTTGAACACAAGCGAATACAGAGATGGAACCAAAGAACTTATGTGCTACGGTGACACATGGGGGTGGCTCAGTTATGATCTGGGGGTGTATGGCGGCAAACGGCACCGAGAATTTGATCTTCATAGAAGGAACAATGGATAAATACAAATATTTGAACATTTTACAACAAAATTTAAAGGAAAGTGCAAGAAAATTGGGTGTATACGAAGACTTTTACATTCAGCAGGATAATGATCTTAAGCACACCGCAAAAATTGGTAAGGAATGGGTTATATACATATAATACCCCCCACATGCTGGTTAGACCATCACAAAGCCCTGATATTAACCCGATTGAACATCTATGGGCAATAATGGCGAAAGAATTACAAAAATTTAATATAACATCCACGGCAAGTTTAAAGGAAAAAATACTCCAAGTTTGGAATTCTATTTCGCCAAGTATTACAGAAAAGTTAGTAAATAGTATGCATACTTGCTTACAGGATGTTATTCGTGCCAAAGGCGGACCTACTAAATATTAAAGATTTAAAAATTACCTGTTCAAATACTTTTGTGGCTTCAACAATCTCTATGTTTATAAGAAATAATTCAAATCTATTGTTTACATATTTCGATTTCTTTGAAACTTTACCTACATAATCTGCAGAGTCGTACCTCCTTACAGTGTTAATAATATTTCAGTAAATGTTATATAATATAACTATTATAATTAATAAAGTATTTCGTACTAAGTGTTCAAATACTTTCGTGAGTCACTGTATATATCTATCATTGTATTTTTATATCATGATTCTCGCTAGGTTGTAATCGCTTTTAATAAATGTGCAAAAAATCTTCTGTATTGTAAGAACAATATTTTTATTCAAAATTATTTATTTTTTCGAAGGAGTATTACAAACGTACGAGTTTCAAATAATTATTAATCTATAAGCTGTTGAACATTTCCAGAAATTAAGAAATTTCAATCCTATTAGATAGACTTTCATCATCAACGACGTCATTACCGAGTCACCATAATGAGCCATTACTGTCGATTTCAATTCGATCAGCATCTTAACCCTTTGCACTCGGATGTCCCCTATGAGCGGACATCGTAAGTTTAAGAAATTTTGTTAGTAACACTATAAAGAATTTATGTTTGTAGTGGTGTCACTGGATCAAGAAAGCTAGAAGAATTAATAATCAAGTCTAATAATACCAAAAACGACACGTTTCCAAAGTTACTCTATTTTATGTAATCCGATTCCTGTTTGCATGTTTTGCAACGAGATGGTGCAGAGTGCAAAGGGTTAAGTATCAACATTTTCGGCTAATTCTGGCCATTTTTAAATATATCTTTGGTACAAAATTTATACATATATTAAGTTCAATATTTGTACTGTAAAATTACGCTTTGTTTTGAATTAAAATATGTATTTAGATCCTGACAAAAAATTCTCGAACTTTTTCAACTGCGTTTACTCCCTTAAGGATTAATGATTTATGTAATCGTGTAATTTTTTTCAGTTACGTAAACGTGAAGAATAAAATCATAAAGGATGGCACTTATTTACTGTAATGTCTATCTATTACTCGAGTCAAGGTTTTTTAAATTACTAGTGTACGAGCAAGGTATATGTTCCTCAACGGCATTTTAGTAAGGAAACACCATAGCAGTAAGGTTGAATTTTTAATTTTAATTTTTATACTTAATGACGTTGTGAATTATTTCCAAGCATTTTCAGATTAGTAGATGGAGTCTAAAGTTTTACCAGACCAAGAATAGTTATATGAATAGCGATGTGAAGGTTTTCCTCTGGGCAACCTTAAATGTTTAAACATTGTTAGAGGTTGCTCAGTAGCCTCGAACATGGATGTTTATGACTGTAAAGCTGGAAGCCCGTTATGGTTAAGATGTGAACAAGCCTTGAGTTTCTGATGCATGTCAGGAAAAACACATTGGTATTGACTAGGCATCATCGCGTGGCCAAGACTAATTAACCGCGACACGGCAATGCTCTTGAACATACTCTAAATTAGAGGTTAGTTAGAGTTACTTAGAGAACTAACGAATCCCAATTTATGAAATAAGCATGTTCTCTAAATTAGCGAGATGTTCAATGTATTCTAGATATGTTCAAAATTTCATTAAAATATGTTCCATCGTCTTAGATTTAAGGTGAAGATACAAACATTCTGGAAGTATATTTATCTAGTCTGTTATCATTACACTGCGGATGTTTACGCAAATTCATATTTTTACACATTCAGATAAAGAATTGATAGTTATATGGATATATGTTTTATCTTCTAAAAAGTGTGATATGTACTTTATTGTTGATGTTTTATATATTTTTGCAATTTTCCCACATTTTTACTTGCCATAAATGCATAAACATCAGCAACCTAGTTATCATTATTAAAACATGAAAATACCTACTCTTGACAGACAATTTTGAAAACATTTTCTATGGTTTTGTTACAAATAAATAAATCCTGCAATACCGAAAATTTGAAGAAAAAACAGAAATACAAAAGTGAAAACTAACTTTAAAAAATATGAACTTGTGATCTTGATGCGATCTGAACATACAAATTTGTCCAAAGGAAGAATTTCTCAAAATGATGGAAAAAAATAGTTAGACGATTACGATCGGAGATTTAGCAATTTAGGTACGTAACCAATCTTATCCATACGGCATAGATAATCAATAATCTCGCCTACTGCAATCTGTATCACGTATGCGATATAATACAAATTGTGTTTTGACGGCTGATCTATGGAATAACGGATAATAATAATCAAAGAATCACGTGGACAAAAATTAGAAATCTAGAGGAAAATACTTTGCACATTGCAGTGATTCGGATGAATAAAGCGGTCACTTACGAACGTTCATGTCGGAGTCCCATGCGTTGAAAATTGCACCGATGAAAAGTGAAGCAAGGCAGGGAATGAGACATTCACGGTGGACGTCCGTAGAAGTTGCGACAATATCTCCTTTTCCGATTCCTTGTTTTTTTAGCCAGAGTGCGCATTTTATCGCGCGGTCGAGCATATCTTCATAGCTATCTTCAATACCCGTTAGCCCATCCACCTAAACAATTCAATTGTTCCGTAATTACTTTTCTTACAGGAAATTGATAAATTTAAAAATATAAACGGACATTAGAATGCATTAAAATTGTTTTTATATTTAGACAATATTCTAGTATTCGTTCAATTTGAGCGATTTCCTTTATCGTTAATTAAATTTTGTACATTGATTACAAGACGTTGATTGATAAACATTACAATTATGAAATAAATATGAGTGCGCGTTCGCACAGACCTTTTCGAACTTAGAGACCATTATGAAAAATATGGCCAAACATTTTATTCTTATACAATTGATACTTGTCTTTATTGAATTTAAACTTGTAGTTATTATTATAACATTATCAAATTCACGAATTCTATGCAGATTGATTTTCTTTAAGGGGGTATCCTGAATTAGGTGGTTTAAAAAAAGCGGTTTTTCGTGAATTTGTTTAGAATGGAAAAAAATTATTAATTCTATCGAACTTTTTATCCTATTTTCATACTAATTTGAGTGGTCTGTACAAATTTTTTCAACAAGAAATATTCAAATTGAGTCGACTGCAAAGCACATTTGTAGACCACCTCACAATTAAAACCTCCTATCGGCGGGAAAGACGCAGGTCGTAATTTTTGTTTGACACAAAAAAAACCAAAAGAAATTTTCATTTTCATCATTTTTCTTTTTTGTGAGCTAAGAAAAACCCGCATAAATGATGAAATGTGAAATTACTGCAAGTTTGAAAAAAAGAACGAGTTCTTTGGGTGAAAAAAATCACTTTTACTTGATAAAGAAAGTTGTTTGAAATTTTTTTGTATCAATTTTTTTAGTTCACACAGAAGAAAAATGTATGATAATGAAAATTTCTTTTGGTTTTTTTGTGGCACCCCCTTAACACGATGCAGTATAAAGATGTACTTCGTTTCAGAAAACGTAACAGAAAATTCAACTCAACAAATCGGTTTTCCATTCGATCTAACCAGGTCCCTGTATTAAGAATATACGATATACCTGGCTAATGGTAGACGGAGTCTCTTTCAGAATGTCGAATAGCAATGCGCCGGCACTCTTGTAGTGGGACGTGTAAGGTTTCGTCTTTCCTTTGATCACATTGTTTTCGATGGTAAAGCTCAACAATTCCTACAAGCAATAGATACATTCCAAAATTAACTTTATACTTTCTTAAATTTTATAAAGCAGAACTATTCTGCTTCGAACTATGTCCATGAATCGTGAGATGTCTTACGTCCATCGGCGTATCGGCCGCGACCATGTTGACGAAGTAAGTGAGTGTTTATTGCGAGAGCAAGGTATAAACTGTTGTCGACACGATAACAACCTTTTTGGGGTTCTAGGTTGAAAACGAGACTAGTTACGCGTAACGCTATCTGTCAAACGACTGTGCGGAGAATTCTTACCCATGCTTCTATTTTATTTGGTATCTACCTGTCTCTCCCACTCTCGTCGTCCTATCAGTGATGGGGCGCAAGAAAAAGTCTATAGACTGTTCTCTTTCCTCACCATGGTTATACGTATATACGTAGGTTCAGGGACTTTGTTCGATTTAATATACGTCACATGCACATATGATAGTGGAGGATTTAAGTCATCGTTACTTTTCAAATCGTTTAAATAATATACTCGTGTGAGATGTGCAATAAAGGAAGGGAGACATTGCATTGCTTTATGTGTGATTTTGAAGAAAATAGAAAAACGTGAGTTGTCAATGGAGGAGGTGTTATATGAAAGATGTAATTTAAATAAGGATAACTGGATTAGGAATTTTATTAAAACAGGAAATAAATTTACGAAGTACTTAGTAAATACATTAGCTGGCAAGAAAAATTGTTAGAATTGTAAAAGTTAAGTAGTGGATAGAGATTATGGATTCACAGAGTATGTATGTAAGAACGGTAATAACGGTTATCTAATACGAACCCTTGATGTTTTCGCTAATTGTTAGGTGTTGAAATTAGTTCTATATCCTTACATTCACATGCAGTGAGTGTAGTAAGTATTCGTACACTGGTCAAGTAAAACAAAAAATTCGTTCAATTGTAATTTATTAACTTCTTTTTTATAAATAAAGAACTTTTACATATTCTTGGAAATCTCTACAATAGATGCTGTAAAAAAAAAATTAGTTGTTTATATAAGTTGCAAAATTAACAAGAGAAAACAATAAATGGATAGAAATATAGAAGCAATTAGTATTCGAACAAATGTTAAATTTTCAAAACTTCGTTAAAAAAAACAGGAAATTTACATTAATTTATAAATAATTAATACTTCGTGGGATTTCATTTTGATTTTATAATTGCTGCAACTCTTATACTATATTTCAACAACTATGAATATTTATTGTTTCCATATTTCTGCCAATTTTTCGTTTTTCTTGTTAATTTCCGAGAATATGTAGAATATCATTGATTATAAAAATAGAAATTAATAAACTACAATTTCACAAAAGTTTCTTAGAAAATTGATCGTCGTACGAATACATTCTATATCCACTGTACATAGTTATAACTCTAGTTTAAGCAGAAATATTTACTAATCATTCGGTTACGTTAGAGTATCAAGGTATTCTTCTTCATAATCATTTTTGCAATAGAAGAGATTTTTATTTTGTAAATTTAAAGGTGCAGGTCTAAAAAAATTTTTGAATGTCCATATTTTTGAAACCGTGGACGCGTTAAGCTAAAACTATAGTTGAACCATAACAACAAACACTGGGGAGAAAGAAGCCTTAACTACATATAATACCAAGTATCATACACTGTATCTTTTTCTTTCTATATGAAGTTATTAATCAATTTATACGATTTTAGAAGTCTGCTCGAGTCGTAATGGGAAGAGCTTCTCACTGCAGGGTTCAATAATAATTACCTAACCGTGGGTGTTTTTAGGATACATCAATTGACGTCGGTTGATCTGAATCTACGCAACAATAACAAGCGGATATCGTGAAATCTCAAGAGATATCAGCGATATCGGGAGAAAGTATCTATCTGTAAATTCATTTCTTGACAGTCGATACATAGCTATTAACTTTCCAATATCGCTAATACTTTTTTCCTTTTTCAAAACGATTTTCCATTGAGATAGAATAACCTTTCTGTTCTTTCCGTAATACAAAATTAAGTATAATATTTTTATTGTAATTGTAGCTCCTTCGAGCAATTCCTTTTCATTCCTGTTCATCTATCATATGAAACTAGCATGTACAAATGAAATTATCCTATTGGCTATTACTATACAAAATATTACATTCGATTTTATCGAATAAGTTTGTATCGACTTCCAGAAAATAAATTTCCGCGACGATACTTTCCCCTAACACCGTTTTTATCGTAGATATCTTTCAAGATCTCACGATATCTGTTTATTTCTGTTACACAGATTCGGATCAACCGAAATCTATAACTCGTTGCATAATTCAAGTTCACGTAATTATAGAATTATTGTAGAATTTTGCTTAGGTTCAGTGAGAAGCTCTTTTTACTGTATTACCACACGTAGAGAGATTTTTAACGTCATATACAATGATAATACCTTTATTTACAAAGAAAACATACTTTATCATTCTCTTACTGCATGCATTTATAGCAACATCGTCTGCAGCCTATCTGAACTGATACGCGACATGGTCGTTGAAAGAGAAAAGAAAACAGAATTAAGCAACAAACAATACGCAGCTTATGATATTTCCAATTATATTTCATCGAGCCATCTTGCGTCGTAGTTATTGCTATCGTGCTTCAACTATAATTTTAGAGCGTTTGAAAATTAAAAGATTGTACTTCGAAAGGGACAGAACATTAAGTATGATTATTGTATTTATATTTATGTTTGATTTAAAGAAATGGAATTCTGAAACCCTTCATATTGCTGACATGAGAAAACTATTGATTCACGAAACTAAAAAAAACAATCGTGCTGTCGTATATTGGTCATGTGTTTTTTCAAATTATTTCAGATTGGCTTGGGAGTCCAATTTTTAGAATAATAATATTTATATCTTTCATTTTACGAATGAAACGAAAAGAAAATAGTTAAAAGGCACGATTCTTAATGCCTTGTAGAGATAAATATTTGTTCCTGAATGAATTAATATTTAACAACGAAATCGTTAATTTCGAGGGTTTGTAATTTTGGAACAATTTCGAAAATATCGGAGTGATAATTTGTATAACCCCCGCTATCTCATGGACTGCAACACGCCTTGACATGGAATGTCTCATACATACATCCTACACAATGGATTTCGTGATTCGATTGAGATTGTCATTTGGCGATAGATAAGTAGTCATTAGTTCATGTTTCTGCTACGTCACTACAGGCATGTCCCAACGTGATTAAATACTAGAACACGGTGACCATGTACTTGTAACGCTACAGTACTTACACTTCCATAAATTTAGATACTATTTGTTTATTATGAGAATATCATTTATGAAATTGTAATATCATTATTGAAATTGATGTTGGTATATACAAAAGCAGATAGAAAATATACGCCACAATTTAACAAATGTGTGAAATTAATATGTTTCCCATTTATTATTATAAATATTTATTATATTTCGAAATACTACATTGATGGGAAGTCAAATATGTTACTTTGTACGTTAATTTAGCAATACCTTTTATATATCAATTTACTAAATTCGTTGTAACATTTAAGTTCTGAGAATTACACCAAAACAAAGTCCAAACATAAATAAGTAATAGCGTTTGAGAAACTACCATCATCATTGTATATGTATGAATACTAATCATCCATTTATATACAAACAAGCTTTATACATGAATAGTTAATACGTGTTAATTTATTCAAATTACAATTACACATATGTTTAGGTTTGGAATTTGAAGAAATTGTAACGAAAAATTTGATTCCCTTTCGATAATTCGTTTCCATAATAGACGTTCTCAAAAATTGCTCATTCTGTAACCCAACAAACCACAATTTTACCTCAACAAAAAAAAATTATCTTCATATACAAAATCTCCTCACAAAGTGTCTGAGATGTTTAACTGAAGTTGAATGGCGTTTATAAACCGTGACTAGACATCACAGAATAAAAAGTTAACGTCGCACATGATGCAACAATAATTCACAGATCACAGAATAAAAAGTTAACGTCGAACATGATGCAATAGTATTCGTAATAGTAATTCGTTATTCCGCTAGGGGATAATTATGTTGTAACTTGTTGCAGTCTACTCACGACAGAAATCAACAACAGTCGCAAATGAATCTATTGCAACCGAATAATATTACGCGACACATAATTATCGTTTCATGTCAAATTAAGAAGATCATCTTTAAATTCACTTCGAGCGTGGTGCAGTTTCCTTTTGCAATCTTAAAGCTCTTCGTTCCTCCAATTGTTTTCGTAAGCCATCAACTTCGGGCGAACTAACCGACAAAGATTGTTGCCGAGCTTTAGACGATGAGAGGCTGCGTCTAAAAAAATAAAAAATAATCTGTATTTATCTCGTGAAGTCTCTTCACTGTTCTTGGTTGCAGTTTTCTTGTTTTGACAAGATATAAAGAGTTTTCCAGTGGGCGCTTTTGTTTGTTAATAATAAATACGCTTGTTAGCGTGGTGGAATAACGTTATCTTTAGAGCCCCTGTACTCGGGTCTCATGTAAATACCCGTGTTCATATTACACGGATACATGTGTATTCTACGAGTATAATTATTCGGATTTACTTTTTTAAAGTGAATAAATTGCAAAAAAAAAAATGAATTTATTAATTACACGACGTAATTAACACACGTGTTTTCTGACATCTCAGATTCAAAAAGCAGATATATCGCTGACCGTCAGGGCCGGCGCAAGGTAGGTTCAGCGTGTTCGCTGGAACCCGGCCCCGCGTTTTAAAAGCTCCGCGGTCTACGAAAATTACTCAATTAAAAGGCACCGATTCTGATTAACTTTTTACAGACTGATGATACAATTAACAAATAGAAGCAATTTTTGCTGAGGTGCAAGACATTTTTTTAGTAGCAATGATTAAATTGAAAGGAGTGACAAAAATCATCAAAGTATTATTATTTAATATTCAGCTTATAAAAAATATATAGCATTAATAAATAAATAATTCCTTGTTATAAAATTTAAGTGTAGGATTTGAATGTGAATTCAGGCCCTGCAAAATTTTTAAACTCGACCCTGCAAAAGGTCACGCCGGCCCTGCTGACCATCTATATTTTATTAAAAAATATAATCATAATGCTCTTTTCGATAGAATCTTTATTTTGATGACAAAGGAAACTATCGATACCACAGAATTTAAGAAAACATGCTGTACGTGTGTATGTTGTTTACCTACAGTGGGTGTAGAAAGTATTCGTACATGGATCAATTTACAAAAAAAAACTGTGTAAAATTGTAATTTATTAACTTATTTTTTATAAACAATGACATTCTACACGTTCTAGAAAATC